ACTACCACCTACAACTACATGATACTCATTGACATTACTATTATTGTCTGTCATGTCAACCCATGACACTATGGGTGCGTTCCGCTTACTCTTACACCAATATATCTGTGTATACAATATAAATGTATTACATTCTCAACACGCCTCCTTACATTTACATTGTATTTACATTAATTCAAATTTAACATACTTCGAAATTTTTCAAATTTATCTTGGCCCAAGGACTTCGTAAAAATATCTGCAATATTATCATCAGAATCTACTTTAACCACATTTATAACATTTGCTTTAACATAATCATTTACATAATGATAATGAATTTCAACATGCTTAGAATTTTTTGTAAAATTGCCATAATTAGCTATACTAATTGTACCAGTGTTATCTTCATAAACATCAATTGGCTTTATTATTTCAATATCAAATATTTTCAACAATTCTTTTACAAATATCAATTCACTTACTGCTTCTGACAATGCTACATACTCTGCAAAAGTTGAAGCTTTTGTAACGCTTTTTTGTTTTCTAGATTTCCAATAAATTACATTACCAAACAATCTTATTACAAAACCAGTTGTAGACTTTCTATCTAAATGATCACCTGCCCAATCGGCATCCACATAACAATCAATAATACTTACTTTTTCATTTCTGTTATAAAACAATTTTAAATCTTTAGTTAAGCATAAATATTTCAAAATTCGTACAGCATATTTAAAGTGCGTTTCATTATAGCAATTTTGAAATCTACTCAGATAATTTACGCTGAAACTTATATCAGGCCTTGTTGCCGAACTTATGTATAATAGTGCACCAATTAAATTTTTATATTTAATATTTCTTTCACAATGATCAGATTTATCAATTTTTAAATTTACTTCCATAGGTGTATTATACAGTTTACCTTTTTCTAAATTATATTTTTTCCTTAATAATTCAATATATTTATTTTGATCCAATCTCATTTCATGTTTACTAGAATCATAATCAACAGTAATACCAAGATATTCTTTAATTTCACCAATATCTTTCATTTTAAATTTTTCTGATAATAAAATTTTAATCCTTTTAATTTCATTTAAATTTCTACCACAAATCAATAAATCATCGACATAAATTAATAAGTAAATAATATCATTTCCAATTTTATAAACGTACAAACAAGGATCAATATTACTTCTTTCAAAACCTAAATTTATCAAAAATGTATCTAGGCACTCATACCATGCCCTTGGACTTTCTTTTAAACCATATAAAGCTTTAACTAATTTACAAACTTTACTTGTTCCATCTTCATAACCCTTAGGTTGTTTAATATAAACTTCAGAAATTACTTTACCATTTAAAAAGGCTGTTTCAACATCCATTTGTTCAATTACTAGGCCCATTTGACAACAATATGACAATAAAATCTTTAATGTTTGCATTTTAGCCACAGGTGAATAAATATCATCAATTTCATCAGTTTGTTGAAAACCTCGTACAACCAATCTAGCTTTATAAGTATTATCAGACTTTTTAGTATAAACCCATTTAACATCCAGAATATTTTTGTTTGTATCATTTTTAACCAATTTCCAAGTTTTACTTTTATTTAAACTATCAATTTCTTTGTCCATAGCTGTTTTCCAATACTTACTTTCATTAGAATTTATCGCCTCCTCAAATGTATGTGGTATATCAGTTCTACACATATTTACAAAAATACTACTATTATATACATAGTAGTCATCAAATTTCTTTGGAGGATTTTTGGCTCTGTGAGATCTAGGTAACTCAGGTTCATTTTTATTCACACTATCATCCATACTTTCATTTGTACTTTCAAAAGTTTCATCTATTGAGTCATTTTCAGAGCTTTCATCAATTTTATCAGGGTAACACTCTTCATTATTATCATTATCTGATTCGTTAAAGTCTAAACCTATACACTTAACGTTTTCTTCAACAATATCCACGTGTCTAGCAACAATGACTCTGCCATTTAATAATACACGATAACCAACATTACTATAACCAATTAAAATTCCCATATCAGCTTTCTTATCCCATTTAGAGATTCTCTTCTGTTCTGGTCTTCGTACAAAAACTTTACTTCCATACAAACGCAAATTAGAAACATCAGGTTTCTGTCCAAAAAATATTTCATATGGAGTTTTCTTTTCAATTGTATCAGATAAAGTACGATTTTTCAAATAAACCGCAGCACAAACTATTTCAGGCCAATATTTTTTATGAATATCTGCTTCAGCCAACAAACATCTTGACATATCCATTATAGTTCGATTAAACCGTTCTGCAGTCCCATTCAATTCATGTACATATGTAGGACAATTATCAATTACTATACCCCTTTCTTTTGCAAATCTGTAGACTTTACTGTTCAAATATTCTTTCCCATTATCACATCTTAAAATCTTTATTTTCTTTCCAGTCAAATTTTCACTTTCATTCGTATATTCATTCAAACAATCACATACTTCTGCTTTTGATTTTATAGCATATACTTTAGAAATCTTACTATAATCATCAATGAAAGAAACAAAATAATTTTCACCTTTAAACCCAGTAGTTCGAAAAGGCCCACAAACATCAGTATGTACAATCTCTAAAATATCTTTAGCTTTTTTTCTACTGTTTACAAACGGAATATTATGCATTTTACTTTCAATACAAATCTTACATTTCATAAATTCAGATTCAAACTCATTAGGAATTCCATTCAACAGCTGATCTTTAGATAAAATATTCAAATATTTAAAATTTACATGACCTAATAAACGATGCCATTTTTCCTTTTGATTCATATTATTCATATCTTTATTTGCAACATTTACATGCAATTCAACTGATTTTAATTTACTTTTCATAATATATAAGCCATTATTTTTTAAAGCAACTGCTGTTATATTACCAAGTTTATCAAAAACTTTTGAAATATTACCTAGAGAAATAATCTTATTATTTTCTGTTATTTTGCTATAACTTATCAAATTTGATTTCATATCTTTAACATAGAAAACATTTTGCATATCTACTAAACTCTTTTTACCAAAAGCATCAAAGTAACTTAAAACATTTCCAATTTTAGTAGCTTTTACAACCCTATTATCTCCTAAATAAACATTAATGGGATCTTTAAGTAATTTACATTTATCAAATAATTTTTCATCATTAATAATGTGGTCTGTACAACCACTATCTAAAAGCCATTTTATTTCAATACAATTATTTACATTACCTATTTCAGTATTTTGTGCAATAACTGACATATCCTTACCAAGAGCTACTGTTGTAAGCCAAGAAGCACTGTTTCGCTCTTCGTTCTTCTGTCCTTGTCGGTTGAACCGCTGTGCACTTGTTCCATGCGTTCCGCGCTGTCCACGTGAGTGGCCACGTCCTCTGACGTAGCTTCCTCTTCCGGCTTCTTGTCGACCTCGCGTTTCTCTCCACCAGCCTCTACTGCTTGTCGTTTGTCCGCCATTACCCGACGCTTGATTGGCGCCATTTTTGCAATCTCGCTTGAAATGACCAACTTCGCCACACTGGAAGCATGATCGATCCTGTCGACCTTTATTTACCACAAATGTACTGGATTTTCTTCCAAAATCATTGTTTTGATTTTTTAATTCGGACATCATAACCTTAGTTTTTACGTAGTCTGCAGTTTGATCATCTTCTTTTAATGTATCTATTAAATCACCAATATAACTGTACGACTCTGGCAACGTGTTTAACATATAGTTCAATTTTTCCTTTTCAGACACACTAGCACCCGCGCTTTTTAACTCGTTTATAGCTTTTTCGAAGTCACTAAAAAATGTTGCACAGTCTCCATAGTTGTTCAATTTTAATCTTTCCAAGTTATTTCTACATACTATCTGCAATGCCGTTGATTCTTTCAAATATAAATTATCAAATTTCTTTATCATCTCATACGCCGTAGTTTTTTCGTCGATGTACTCCATCTGTCGATCCGATATTGCACCGCATATATAATTCATTGCTTTTACATCATCGTCATCCCAATTTGTATCATCATTTTCATTTTTCGGTCTGGTTACCACAACATCACACTTCTTCATTTTCAAAAATAGCATAAGACGTTTTTTCCACATTTTATAATTCTCCCCATCGAATATAGGTATTCTAAAATCACTACTACCTGCCATCATGTGTCACACTTTTTTTTCAAACTGCACCAAACTTTTTCTGTTGTAAAAGGTACGACTTTCCAACCACGACTCTGCTACCATGTTAAGGTGTGGATTTGGAAAATAAATAGTCGTACTTTACTACTATTATAAAAGGCTTTATTTCCTATAACATACATACTAATTAACTAACCTAACTTAAGCCACCATACTTCTTACTACCACCTACAACTACATGATACTCATTGACATTACTATTATTGTCTGTCATGTCAACCCATGACACTATGGGTGCGTTCCGCTTACTCTTACACCAATATATCTGTGTATACAATATAAATGTATTACATTCTCAACAGAAATCGGGTATTTTTAAAAATTTTTAAATTTATATGAAACACGAACGAATGAATATTTGTTTCTTTTGATATTAGTTGCAGTTAGTTATTAGAAAAAAAAAATTATATTTGGCCTTTGGTAGATTAGTAAATAAACTTGGCAATACTGTCAAATGTAGTTGCCAGATTGCAACAGATGTTTAGCAGATTTCAATTTTATGAATATTTTCTTGTAATTTTGGGGTGAAATGGTATCTGAATAAATGCTTCAACAATAAAATTTAATTTAAATTATAATAAATTAAATTTAAATTAATTAAACTTCTTTTAAAAACTTAAAAAGAATGTTTAGTGACATTAATAATTAATATTATATCGAATGCTCTTTCGTGATTTATTTGTGATATGGCAACACTGCCAAATACCAATTTGTCAATAATTTGTAGCTAACTTCATCGGCACTTTCTCTATACTTCTGCCAAATTGTACATTACTCATTTCCTGTTTTGTTTTTAATATAAAATCCATAAAAACTGGTTCAACCAAATGGAAGTAAAACAAGAATTTAGTGAAAACACACTTAAAGCAGAAGTAGATATATATTATAATAAGGTGAATGATGCTCCTTTAGATGGCTTTAAAACTGAAATCAAAGAGGAGGCTAATAGAGAAACACATGATGAATTTGATTCTTTGGACCAACAGGAATTCCCCATAAAGACTGAATTAGATCATGAGAATAAACTTGTCTCATTTGAAGAAAAGCAAACAAATGAAAATGGTAAGCAGGTAACTGTAGGCACCCTAGATTATTCCCAACATTGCAAATTAAGATAAGCAGAATAGTTTTTTCAGTTTTTGCTTTTAAAACAGTTTATTTGGCCCTAATATTACATATTACAGATAGCTTTTTTATTCAGTGTGAGTTATCCTCATTAGTTTTAATACTTGTAGTATGAGAAGCTCATCAATACTCTATTGACATAATGCTAGAAATGGAAACAATTTAAGGATTCTTTTTATATTAGGAATATTTTAAAAATGAAACTGTCCTGTAACTGAATGCACCCACAACTAAGTATAAATTCCAAAGACCAGCAAGAACTGGTTGTACCAAATTATATTTTAATATTGACTGTGACTGTAGTTTAGTCATCGAGCAAAAAGACAAAAGGGGGAATGTAAAGGTAGTGGGGGCAAACATATTGTTAGACAGGAAGTGCGATCTTTAGAGATCTTTTAGTCTCTCTCCTTGTTTGACATCAAATTTAGTTGGGTTATGTTATTGTTTGTCTCAAATGTCACATGAAATCTTATTTATGTTGAAGTTTTTTAACAACTGTGTCGCATTTTAGACTCTTATCATTAATAATTAATTAAAACTTTCTCGTCTAAGACACATTCTGAAAAATATTATATAGCTAGTGTTGAAGTGTTGGAAAATTTAAATTTGGCACATTCACATTTCCGGATATGTCCGCCATCAGAGGCCACTTTTTTGGTCTCCTTTTCATAAGGATTAGATTCCCTCTTTTGTCTTATTGCTCGATGAGTTTAGTCCATATAATTGTTAAAATATGTGCAAATGATTGTTTTTTGGAATCTATCTGATATAAACTGGTCATACTTCAGCCAGTTGACTAATTGTACATCTTCAATTTAATCATAATACCCATTCCAGGGTTCTAGAACCTTGTACTAGCTTATATAGGTCTAGTGGATGGCAACCATAAATTTGAGCCACTTAATAGTCTCCAAAAAGTGTTTGCTGTCTGTGTTCTAATACTTTAAGGTCATGCAAGCTAGATATTGTTGACAGTTAGATTGTTGGACCACATTTACGTTTGAAGCTTTAAAATAGCAATCTATGGACATTGATTTACTAATTTGTTGCATAAAAAACTGCAAAAACATATGAATTCTTAATTTTAAATAAATGTTAATAACTAGTGTGAAAATTATTGTACAACCTGGATATTGTATGGAAAGTTTGGACTTATAGTGTTAAAAATGTGGTTAAAATTTCAGAGTGATTTATTAATTAGTTTGAAAGTTATTTAATTTGTTTATTTCAAAAAACTGTTTTGTAATAACATAAGTCAGACAAAAAATTAACTTTCGATAATTTACAGGTAGCATAAGCAAAAGAGAATTATTCTATCAAAAGAATTAAAGAAAAGTTGGGAATAATCATTATCAAAATCATTTTTCATATTAGAAGAGCTGTCAAGTTAAAAAAAATGTCCTATCTCCTATATTCTTGACAAAGGTAAAGTCCTTCTCAGAGCCTTTTTTCAGTGCGTCATTAATTGTGAATTCATATACTATATTGGATGTGTAGAGTATTATTTTATGTAATTATTGAGAATTCTGACAGATACCAGAACCATACTTACTTTTATTGCAAGGTGGATTAAATAGTAGTAAACAATATTGTTTATTAAATTTATAAATAAAAAAATACTGTTTTCAAAGATGTTTATTAGGTAATTTATTATTAAAAATATTATATAATTCAAATCATAAAAACAATTTATTCACTAATGCCTAATAAAAATACTCTATTGAAGACATTGAAAAGTAGAATTTGGATATCAATGAAATATTAAAACCTTTCCTGTATTAATAAAAGATTTCTTTGGAGGTTAAATTACTTATGGTCTTACTTATAACCCTAGGTTATCTGGCTGAACAATTATTCAAAAACGTTAAAGACACTCTAAGGAATTTATCAAAAATTAAAATTTTGGAAAAATTACTTACTGAAGAAATTATTACAAACAGTTATGGCCAGTCAATTTTATACGCACGGCAAAAAATAATCACTCTTTTACAATATCTACAAACGAAATGCAAACTTTTTTGCAATATATATCCATAGGCGAATCTATGGTGAAATATTTCACCCAGCAGAACAATTTATTAAAGGGAAGCCACTCATATTTGGATATAAGAATTAGATCCTAACTGGTTCCACTAGGTATTATTATGGTTTTGACATTTATTGCGGAGAAAAACCAAATGATACTGAAGATACTAAACAATTAACAGTTGGAGCTAAAGTAGTGATTGATCTTTTGAAATACCTTCCCGAATCATCTAGAATTAAAATTTTTTCGATAATTATTTCACGACATATCAACTAATAATATATCTGAAACAAAAAAAAATCATTAAGGCAACAGGAATTGTAAGAGAAAATCATGTACAAAAATGTCCAGTAATAGAGTCTAAAATTGTTTGCTTCCTACCATTCTGGAATGATTGGCGTAGATGTGCATGATCAGTGCATATCATTATATCGAATAAGTGTAAAAGGTAAAAAGTCATGATGGGTTTTATTTACGTACTTTCTTGACATGATCAGGGCCAATGCCTGGAAACCTCATCAAATTTCTACTGAAAATGTGATGTAAATAGTGAGAATTCTGTCGTCATATAGTATATAGTTATTTGGGAGATGGTATCACTTCAAGAACACAAAGAAATAGAAAAGCTCGTTCCAGAATTGAAGTCACCAAAGGCTATCATTTTCCAGGAAAAATGGAAAATAGTTAGTGTTCTGCCTGGCATATGAACGCAAGGGGGACATGCAAAAAGAGTGGAAAAATAATGTGTATAGAAAAATGATGTTTTGAAAAATACCATACAAATACCTAAACCCATTTGGGGATGCCCTTGTATTTCCAAATGTTTTTGAAAAAAAAAAAATATTTTTTTGAATATATGCAATAGATGTCACCCAACATTTAATTTAGTTTATTTAATATATATTTATTTATTATATTTATTTAATATCTTCTTCTTCTTCTTCTGGTTCCTATCCGTTTCGGATATTAGAAATCATATTGGCAATCATAACCTTGCTCGCTGCGGCTCGAAACAGTTCCGTTGAGGTTTTGTTAAACCATGTTCTTAAATTCCGCAGCCATGATATTCTCCTTCTACCGGGTCCTCGCTTACCTTTGACTTTACCTTGTAAAATAGACTGCAGCAGGGAGTAACGGTGCTGATTTCTCATAACGTGTCCCAGATATTGCAATTTTATGCGTTTGATAGTAAACACAATCTCTGGTTACTTCTTCATTTTTCCTAAAACTTTCTTGTTCGTGATCCTTGCTGTCCATGATATTCTCAGCATTCTTCTATAAAGCCACATTTCAAATGCTTCAAGTTTTTTAATAGTGGTGTCTGTAAGCGTCCATGCCTCCGCCCCGTACAACAAGACAGAGAAAACATAGCAGCTCAAATGTCTCATTTTTGTATCTAGGGATATGTTGTGACTTTTGAAGATATCGCTCATTTTGTTAAAGACCGATCTTGCCTTTCCTATGCGGCACTTTATTTCCTGTACATTGCTCCACTGTTCGTTTATAATAGTTCCCAGGTAGCAATACTGTTTTACTCGCTCTATCTGCGTCCCATTAATGTATAGATGAACCCCGTTTATATTCTCCTTGCTGATAATCATTTGTTTCGTTTTGTGGGTATTAATGTTTAGTCCGTACTGTTGACTGTACTCGTTTATTCTGTCCATTAGCCTCTGAAGTCCCTCTAAACTATCTGCTATCACCATGGTGTCGTCGGCATATCTAACATTGTTTACTCTTTCACCGTTTAGAAGGATGCCTTATTTAATATAATATATATTAAATATTTATAGAATATTTAATATATTTTAATGAAAACCAAAACAAAATAAAAATATAAACACAATGAAATAATGTCAAATACTGACCTGACGGTGCCTGAACCGACAAGATCACTTCACTCTTCGAAAGGATGGCCAAATGAATGAAGTTTTACGTCCAATGTTCGTGACTCGCGTAATTGATTGGCTAGAGAAAGCGCGCATTTCAAATATCAACGAATCAAACGTAGGTTAAGAATAGACCGGTTATGTATGCAACGCTGTAATATTTTCGTGTTTTAATCACGGAACTGCCGCTTTTTTCATCACATCCAACTTAATGCGTTAGAAAGAAATCGAAAAACTGTGACGCACTGAAAGAAGGCTGTGAAAAGGAGATTAGCATGGTACAATGAACACGTTGTGTTCATTGTACCATGGGACATTAGTCTCTTTTTTCCAATCAGCAATATCCAAAAATATAATATGGAACTTCAAACTCAAGCTATAAAATACCTTTGGTCCTTGTTGATAGATTTTTTTAATAAAATTTGCATATCTCTTTGCATACATTACAAATATACCATTTGTTTATAGATTTTGTTAAAAAGGCTGGTCTGATGTGACAACTTTACTCTAGAGATGAGCCACAATAGACCTTTTAGGGCAAGTAAAAGAACGGTTAAGTGCCTACTCAAATTAAACCTAACTTAACCTAAGCCCTCATACTTTTATCATTTAAGACAGTGGTTCCCAACTCGTGGTCCGCGGGCTGTTGCAGAGTACGTCTTATAATTCACGGTTTTCTTCATCAATACGAGTATAGCAATGTTTTTACTGGCTATATAATGAGACATTCATCCTCGGAGATACGTTTGTTATGAAAGTATGCCACACGAGTAATGCTGTTTTTATTTCTGATGTTAGGCGTGGAGTGACAGTGGCACAGCGCGAGCGCGGAGAGGGTAGGCTATTAATAGTCACTGCGGGGCGGGCGGACACATGCTTCCACCACTCTCAAGCTCGTTCATTCCCCTCCACCGCTGTGTAGCCGCGTCCCCGCCCAGCATTGTCTACCTTCGCCTGAGTTCCATGGCCATTTGTCTGTCGTAGTGTCTAGTGTCACGTACCGTATGTACAGAGTGAGAGACTGCAATGAGTAACAGTCAATTTGTTTAAGTTTTTAAAAAGAGCATATGATGAAAGTGAACCCGGACCTAGTGCTAGTACGAGTGTTAGTGACAGGTTTGTTTCAAGTGAACCTAAAAGTAGAAAACCAGCCAATCGTAAGTACAGCCCAGAATACTTCAAATATGGATTTACTTTTAAAGAAGATGGAGATGTTCATTTGCCTCAGTGTGTTGTATGTTCAGAGGTTTTATGCAATGAAGCTATGAAACCGGCCAAACTCAGCGTCATTTTGAGACAAAACACAAAGAACTTGTTCAAAAACCATTGGATTTTTTCAAGCGCAAGGAAACTCAGCTTAAAAATGCAAAACAAGTAATGAAACAGTATTCTTCTTAGGATAAGGCTGCTTCAAAAGCATCTTTTTTAATTTCATTGAAAATAGCAAAAGCAAAAAAACCATTTACAATAGGAGAAGATTTAATTTTACCCTGTATTTTTGAAGCCACTAAAGAAGTACTTGGTGAAGAGTTAGCTAAAAAAATGAAAAACATAGGTCTATCAAATAATACAGTTACTAGAAGAGTTGAATCGATGGCAGCAGATGTTGAAAACCAACTCGTAATAAAGCTTCACCAATCTAAGTGGTTTTCTTTGCAATTAGATGAGTCTACCGATTACAAATAAAGCAATTTTACTGGTGTATGTAAAATACATTGATCATGAAGAAAAGAAATTAAATGAAGAATACATGACATCTATTGAACTGCCAGGTCATACAAAAGGTCGGGACATTTTTAATGCTGTTGATGGGTATTTAAAGTTGCATAAAGTATCTTGGAAAGACTGTGTTGGATTGTGTACTGACGGCGCGGCTGCTATGACAGGCTCCAAACAAGGCCTTAAAAGTTTTGTACTGAAAGAAGCGGGAACCGAAGTACAAATAACACACTGCATTATTCACAGAGAGATGCTAGCAACCAAACAGTATAGTCCTGAACACAATGAAGTCTTCCTTACAGTTGTAAAGGCTGTGAATTTAATCCGAAGCAAAGCTCTTAATTCAAGATTGTTTGCTACGCTTTGTGATGATATGGGCTCGCTTCATTCCAAACTTCTCCTCCACATTGAAGTACGATGGTTATCCCGAGGGCGTGTATTGGCCAGATTTTATGAACTTAGAAAGGAGGTTTGTATGTTCCTTGACAAAAACAATCCAGAACTAGCGGCTGTGTTTCGGGATGGACAATGGGTGGCTAAACTTGCTTTTTTGACTGATATATTGAGTATAGAGTCTACGATTGGTAGATAGAGTCACGAATGTCGAGGTGCTGAGAAGATTGGGTAAAGAGGTCTTAAATACAGTTAAAGTCAGAACAGTGCAATATCTGGGACATATTATGAGGGACGAGCGTTATAACTTGTTGCAATTGATAATGCGAGGAAGGATACAGGGTAGAAGGAGCCGCGGAAGAAGACGCATCTCCTGGTTGAATAATTTGAGAGCTTGGTTTAACTGCACTTCTACTGACCTCTTTAGAGCAGCGGCGTCGAAGGTGCGAATTGCCAAGATGGTTGCCAACCTTCTTAGAGGAGATGGCACGTGAAGAAGAAGAAGAAGAAGGCAAATCCTTTTTTACCACTCAAGGATATTGATCTTACACTTAATGAACAGGAAGAACTTATTGAGATATCTTCTGATCCTCAGCTTGAAGTTGTCAAAATACAATGTGACAATATTGCAAGCTTTTGGATCAAGTTACTTGATGAGTACCAAACCCTCAGCCAAAAAGCCTTGAAAATTCTACTTCCTTTCAATTCTACATATCTTTGTGAAACAGCATTTTCAACACTAAATGTTATTAAGAATAAGTAACAGTTTGTTGAAATTGGATGCTTCATTCAGGTTGAGTTTGACCTCTTTGAAGCCAAATATCGAAGATCTTGCCAGTAAAATGCAAAACCAAGGAAGTCACTGAGAGACTTAGTGTCATATTTTGTAAGCGTTTTATAATAGATTTATAATGTTTCTATAACTATATTAAGACTATAACTATGTTTTTTTTTTCTAATTACTTACTCTTAATACAATGTATATTAAAGGATTTAAAATATATTTCTCTAGTTATCACTTTAATTTACCTAGTTATAAAATCATGTGGTCCGCAGACGTTTTCTTATAGATCTTGTGGTCCTCGAGGGAAAAAGGTTGGGAACCACTGATTTAAGACTGATACTACGTTCATTATTTATAGTTTAGAACATAAAAGTGAGGTTGTGTTAAATTAAGTTAACTTCAGACAATAAAACTACTATGAATATTGAAAATTTTCTGTTCTGTAGTTTGTGCATTAACTTTTTCTAGCAAAATAACTTTTTATATATTTTGATTATTATTTTAGGTGTTCCCCAAGTGGACAACACATTGGAACTGATGAAAACAGTGTATGTAGATAATAAAAAACAACATACAAGTCATCCTATTCAAGAAACAATATTCAATTGTGAAATTTGCAGTAAACAGTTTTCTAAAAAAAAGTACTTTAATCAACATCTAAAAAGACACACTGGGGAGAAAGCTTATACATGTCAAATATGTTTTAAGCAGCTTGTTCATAAAAGTGCCTTAAATGTACACATGAAAGTTCACACTGGAGAAAAACCCTATAAGTGTGAAATTTGTTTTAAGCAGTTTTCTCAGGCAGGTAGTTTAAAGCAACATATAAGAATGCATACCGGGGAAAAACCTTACAAGTGCGAAATTTGTTCCAAGTCATTCTCTCAGGTAAATTCTTTGAAACAACACATGATATTGCACACTGGAGAAAAACCCTATAAGTGTGAAATCTGTTTTAAACAATTTTTTCAGAGAGATAGTTTAGCAAAACATGTAAAAATTCACACTGGGGGAAATAAATGTGACATTTGTCATAAGGAATTTGCTCAGGCTTGTCATTTGAAGCAACATATGATAATGCATACTGGAGAAAAACCTTATAAGTGTAACATTTGTTTTAAGATGTTTTCTCAGTCAATTTCTTTAAAACACCATACGATGTTGCACACTGGAGAGGAACCTTATAAGTGTGAAATTTGTTTTAAGCCCTTTTTTCGGATGTGCACTTTCAACAAACATCTGAAAGTTCACACTGAAAACAGTCCGAATAGATGTCAAATTTGTTTCAAGCAATTTTCCCAGGCAGATACTTTGGAACGCCATATGAAAATTCACAGTGAAGAAAATACTAATAGATGTCAGGTTTGTTTTAAGCAACTTGCCCATAAAAAATCATTAAAAAAACACATGAAAATGCACACCATTTTAAGCCCTTTTTTCAGATAGGCACTTTCAACAAACATATGAAAGTTCACACTGAAAACAGTCCTAATAGATGTCAAATTTGTTTCAAGCAATTTTCTCACGCAGATGCTTTGGAACGCCATATGAAAATTCACAGTGAAGAAAATACTAATAGATGTGAGGTTTGTTTTAAGCAACTTGCCCATAAAAGATCATTAAGAAAACACACATGAAAATTCACAGAGGAGAAAAACCTTACAAGTGCGAAATTTGTTTGAAGGAATTTATTGGTGCACATAATTTAAGAGAACATACAAGAATACATACTGGAGAAAAACCTTACAAGTGTAAAACTTATTTTAGGGTGTTTTCTAGATCAAGTAACCTAAAAAAGCATGAAATGACACTCCTTAGCAAAATCTTACAAGTGTAAAATACATTTTAAGAATATAATAAGATCAACCTTGATTAAGGTTGTTGGGGTACCCATTTACAAAGTGGGTACCCAAAATGAAACAAGTTCTAGATATTTTAATACTTATTTTATTTTTACGCACAACAGGCCGTTAAGGCCTAGGGCATTTTATTTACAACATAATCCTAATATTAACTAATTACAATTATTTTAAACAAAACTTGTAACTTAAATATGTATATATTACATTCTTAACTACTCTGAAGGACCTGGTGTACAATATTTCTCCATTCGCTTCTGTTTCACCTTCCCACAGTCCCTCACCTTCACGTGTTTAAGGTCTTCCTCCGCTTTACTAATCCACCTCGTTCTGGGTCTACCTTTTCTTTTGGGGCCGATTAATTTTCTGGATATTACTAGTTTAGGCATTCTAATAGGTAAAGAAATAATAATAAGACTTACTCACAATCAATTTAATTTAACAATCAGACGACCGGTTTCGCTTTCTACAATTTGCAAAGCATCTTCAGGTCTAGATACAAAGTTAAACTAATGCTGCAATAAAATAAACCCAATTAGGGTGGTGTCTAATAAAGATAAAATAAACAAATAAGTTAGTTCATACAAATTATAGTAATTATGCCAATATTACATGTCTGTGGTTTTCAAAATGAATAAATTTGAATATATAAAAGGTATTAACAGACAAGGTAAGACCCACAATTGGTATAAAGTAGTAATATTATATTGTTATAAATTAATAAATGAGCAGATAAATAAAACAAAACAAACATTACTTACATGCCGGTACTCTATTAATTGATGGATGGTAGGTCATGGTTGCAAAAATCATGTATTGTTGATTGGAGAACTTTAATGTGCTATTGCAGTTGTTTTGACAATAAACGGGAAGTTCTTGAGGAGAACAGATTTGATCCAATGAATTAGAGATAGGTATATTGTGGTTGTTTGTCAAATGAAAGTGATGTTCTTTACTATTGTATTATTTAAATTATTTACACTTATATCAGAGATATATTTTTGGAATGTGTGTTGTTTATTGAGTATTTATGTTATGAAGGAGACAGTTTTATGACAATGAATAAGAGTAGCTGTACCGATTGTGTGGTTGTGCAATTATTTTGACTTGTAATTATCAAGTCTATTGGCAAAATTAATCAATTATTGTAAAGTCAAGTATATAAAAAGTATATAAAATGATTACAAATTAAGACAATCAGGGACAAATTAAACACACATTAACATGAACAGAAGGCATTTAGGCATTCTGTTTGCAGCCATTCTTTCCACGTGACCCAACCATCTGATTCTTTGTGCTTTGACGAACTTGGTAGGTTCTTTGTATAAGGCCATTAATTCATTGTTGGTTCTTCTTTCCCAGCCATCATCTGTCTTCCGTCCTCCGAATATGCGTCTCAATATTTTCCTTTCCCATCTTTCCAGAGTATCCTCTTCCTTCTTATTTAATGTCCATGTCTCACCAGCATATATTACTGTGGGTTGAATTACTGTTTTATATATTCTGAGTTTACCTTGTCTAGAAACGTATTTTGAGTTCAGTAGGGCTCTTAAACCACCCAATGTTTTATTCCCTTTTGCTATTCTGGCTTCGAGCTCCCATTTCTCTTTTCCATTTTTATCGAAAACTACACCCAGGTATTAAATTTGTCCACCCTTTGAAAACTATAGCTTTTACCACTTACTGACCTCACACTAAAGTCTTCTTTTTTCCCTTCTGTTCCTCCCATGATCATATATTTGGTTTTGTCTTCATTTAGTTCCAATCCGAATTTCTGTGCTTCTTCGATGGTTTTCTTCACAACTCTTCTTAATTCTTTCTCGGATTTTGCTAGGATCGTTAGATCATCAGCAAATGTCAAGCACTGGTGCTCATTTTTCATGATCGTTTCTTCCACCTTTATGATGCATTCTCTGATTACAGTTTCTAATACTAAGTTGAATAATGTAGTGGATAAAGGATCTCTCTGTCTCTGAATTGATCTGAATGTGAATGATCTGAAGGATCTGAATTGATCTGATATGTGACCCTGTCAAGCAATTTCACACGTACAGTTATTAAGTGTCATTTTAACTAGTCGGATTAGTTTCTTTGGTATACCCAATTGTTCCATTGCTCGATACATTTTGACTCTATCGACTCTATCATATACTTGTCTAAAATCCACAAACAAAACATGCAGGGGAACTTTACCTTCATAACAAGTCGTTTGTATCTCCTTTAATGAGAAGATTGGGTCTACAGTAGATCTGTCTTTTCTAAAGCCGGCCTGATATTCATGCAGGATTCTTTCCGTGTAACAATTTAGTTTATTTCTCAATATTCCTGCCAAGATTTTGTATACTGTATCTAATAAGGCTATACCTCTATAGTTCTCACACTTTAGTTTGTCTCCTTTTTTATGCAGAGGGCATATGCGGGCCTCATACCACTCCGATGGCATTACTTCCTTTTCCCATACTTGCACTAGTAGCTAATATATTTTTCTTTGTAGTTGTTCTCCACCAAACTTGATCATTTCTATGCATATGTCATTTTTACCAGGACTTCTGTTATTTTTCATTTCTTGTATTGCTGTCACCACCTCTTCCTCTGTAGGCTGCCTTTCAACTATCGCATCTTCTCCAACTGTCCGGTTGTCTACTGCTTCGTGGTCCCCCTCACCATTTAATAATTCTTCAAAATGTTTTTTCCATTCCGTCATTATTTCTGCCGGATCGCTAATTAAATTTCCGTCTTTACCTTTCATATAACTACAGTGGCTTTGGTAACCTTTTCCTATCTTTTTAACTTCTTGATAGAACGACCTCACCTCTTTGTTTTTAAACTTCTCTTCTATCTCTTTTAATTCTTATTTTAGATTTATAAGAGATTTTAATCCTAATGTTATCAAAAAATATATTTTTTGCTAATAAAGTAGTTTGTTTGTTAGAGATATTCAGAGTGAACTTGTACAAGTTTGTTTATTTAAGTCACTCTTTGAACAAGTACTAAAACCACAAGATTGATAATTCATCCATTTTACACCAATTATTAGCACTTACAATTATAACAGAAGTTATTTAATTTGTTTATCTCAAATTAAGAAGTCAGAAAATAATGAATTTATAGTAATTTTATGGATAGCCTTACGAAAGAAGAACATTTATTATATCAATATTATTTAAAAAAAAATTACATATTCCAAAATCATTTTGCAAAACATGTAGATTTTTTTCTGATAAACATTTATAATAAGTTATATTATTAGAATAACTTTAAACATTGTCTGTAGGAATTTTTTTTTCATGTTAGGAAGGCTTGCATTTCACCCAAATTTAAAAAAAGATTATCCTAGGACAATTTGGGACGAAGTTAGTCCCTTTTTTTAAATCCTCATCAGCTTTGTTTATAACAAGAAATCCAATTAGTGTCATTTGAAAGAATATACTTCAAAGTTTTAATGTGCCAAAGTCAAAAAATTTTACCTTCTTCTGAAACAGAATCATTCAAAATCGACTTTAAAACTTGCCGGAGTAATGGAGGGGAAAGGAGCTGTAAAATATACATCTGGTTCTTATTTATGTGTAGTTTTTATGGATTTCGATGTTTCTTTTTTTAATTTGTATGTACTTTTTGCGTATACCATGAATATGCATTATTTAAATAAATACTTTGTTAAATAAACTATCAAATTTATTTTATTTTATTTTTATTTTATTTCTTGCTAAACGTGCTATTATATATAAGGTTCTTGAACTCATAAGTGGAGCATAGAGCTTCAGTGAAAACGTGCCATCGGGTTCTATTTTGCGCTAAGGAATTCACCTCATTCCAAGACTTTCCTTGGCCTCTTATCTCGTCCATGATGGATCTTCTCCAAGTTTGTACTGGGCGACCTCTTTTTCTTTTCCCTTGGGGATTCCACTCTAGGGCACTCTTTGCGATACTGGAACTATTTTTTCGGAGTGTGACCGATCCAACCCCACTTTCTGGACTTAATTTCATTTTGTACCCTCTTTTGTTCGGTCAGGTGTAGCAGATCTTCGTTTCTGATGGTGTTAGGCCAGAATATACGGACAATTCTTCGTAGACATTTGTTAACAAAGACCTGCAGTTTGTCTGTGAGGGTGTTTGTCACTTTCCAGGTTGCACATCCGTAGAGTAGAACAGACATGACATTTGATTAGAATATTCGGATCTTTGTCCTTGTAGTATACTCGCCAGATCTTCAAACAGGGTTGAGTGTGCTGAAAGCTTGTTGGGCTTTTCGTATCCTCATACGAATATCGTCTTCTGTACCTCCGTTTTTTGTTATGACACTTCCAAGATACGTAAAGTTTTCCACATTTTTAATCTGCATATTGTCATCTGCACAGTAAATAGCGTGTTGTTCCTTGCATTTATTCTCATGGACTTGGTTTTACTAATATTGATTTTCAAACCTATTTTATTGGCTTCAGTGGAAAGTGTTTCCAATTGGTAAGCCAGATCTTGGAACCTTTGACCTATTAGACAGATATCGTCCGCGTATTCTAGATCGCTTAGGCGTGTGGTTAACGTCCATTGTATCCCTCTTGTGTCGGAATCTAGTTTGGAGAGAACATAGTCTATAGCTATGTTAAAAAGAAACGGAGAAAGCATGCATCCCTGTCTAACTCCAGTAAGTACGTCGAATTCATCACTGTTGATCCCATTGTGTGTCACGCTGCATTTCGCATCAGTATATAGTGACTTTATAATAGAAATTATTTTTTGCGGGATGTTTCTGAGCTCTAAAATTTTCCATGCAGCAACATGAGACAAGCTGTTCAAAATCAACAAAAACCATATATAGGGGTGTGTTCCATTCAACCGATTGTTCCATTATTACCCTCACAGTATTAATGTGGTCTATGCAGGAAGATTATGGTCTAAAGCCTGCTTGATTAGAACGAAACTCAACCTTGTTTGTTAATCTTTTCAGTGATGGTCGTGAAAATTTTATTTATGACAGTAAGCAAGGTTATTCCTCTCCAATTTTTGCAAGGTTGCCTTTTTTTTGGAAGGTTAATAATGTTACCTTTTTTCCAGCCCGCTGGAATGTGGTTTGTTTCCCACACCTCTCGGATTATGGGGAGCAAAAGTTTAGCAGTTATATGCGGATCAGTTTTAAGTATTTCAGCAGCAATGTTATCGATTCCCGGTGACTTGTTGTTTCTCAGAGATTTGATAGCTGTTATTATCTCAGTTTTGGAAGGGGCCTCGCAAGAAATATGCAAGTCTATATTCTGCGAGTTTTCGACAATTTCATCTGCGTTATCTCTGGAAATACCTAGCATCTCCTGAAAATGCTCTTTCCATCTCTCTACTTGGTCATCTATTGTAGTAAGTAATTCGCCTGTCTTGGATCTTACAATGTTCGAACAGTTGGACCCATTTTTTGTTAGTCGTCTAGTAATTTGGTAAAGCTCCCTAGTTCTGTTGTGTTGGGCAGCTGTTTCTGCTTGTTTTGCCAGTTCTTCGGCCCACCTTCTTTTGTATCTTCTTGCTTTTTTTTTAACTAATTTATTTATTGTTTGATATTCCTGTTGTCGGTGTGCTCTTCTTTCTACAGTTCTTGCTTGCAGGATATCTTTTTTTCGTTGTTTTCTTTCCTCGATAAGATTCCATGTTTCATCTGATATCCATTCCTTTCTATCTTTCTCTTTTTTACCCAGTTTGTCTTCAGCTATTTATGTCAAAACATCTGCGAAATCTTCCCAACTATTTATTTCACGTTCTCTTGTTTTGAGTTGAAGTTCCTCTTTAAACATATGTCTTCCTGGGACCGTTTTTAGTTTATCTAGATTGTATGTTGATCTCTTGGTGTTTCGCGTGATTTTGTTTTTTGCCATCTTGATTTTAATGGTACCAATTACGAGATGATGGTCACTTGCGATGTCTGCTCCTCTTTTATTACGTGCTATTTAAAACGTGCTATTAGGTGAATTAAAAAAACTGAAGTTACAAAATCATTTGCAGGGTTGTTGTTGGTATATATACAGTCATCTCTCTATATAACGATATGCAAGGGACCTGGAATTTTTATCGTTATAAGGAGAGATCGTTACACATAGAGAGAGACAAAATTCGGCACTGTAATATTAATATTACTGTACTAAATAACCTAGTTTAATTTAAAAAAATTATCAAAACGAATATAAATGAATTAACACTGTATTGTACACCACATAGATTTATTAAAGAATAATATAAGCAATACAGAATAAAAAAATGACTGTACAATTAAAACATGTGTACTGTACAATAACAAGGTAATATGCTACTGTTAAATATATTTAGCCTACGTTACCAAAAAGTCTGTCACCTTAGTCTGTTTCCCTTTCCACAGAACTGACCGGACCTTGTCCTGAAGGCCCTATCTTTCACAGCACTCATATCGTCTTTCTAGTGGATGAACAATCGATGCAGTACTTTAGCCGCATCCAATGCTTGCTGAGGGATCAGAGTTCTGACTGTTTCCACTTCAAGGTCACTGTTTTCTTCTTCTAAACAAACTGCTTGTAGGATGTCCTCGTCAGAAAGTCCATGGACGTTATACGTCCATGGTTTAAACTGTCTAATCCAAACATCTAATGGCAGGTCATCTTCATTATCAGTCAATCCTTGATCTTCCAGCCATCCTGCGTGTTTAAAGGAATGTTTTATTGTATTGCTCGTCTCCTCGGCCCCAGGATCATTAGAATGCATACTACCAGTTTGTACATACGGCTTGGAGAAAGTAGCCCTTACCAAAAAATCTGTTAAAAAATTAGAAACAACGCAAAGAGCAATGGAACGAATCATGTTTGGAATATCACTGATAGACAAGATTAGAAACACCGAGATAAGACATAGAACGAAGATTAGGGATATTGTGGAAGAAATTTCAAAAATAAAATGGCGCTGGACAGGTCACGTAGCCCGATATAATGACAACAGGTGGACACGGAGAATTCTAGAATGGAGACCAAGAAGCATGGGAAGACCTCAAAAAAGATGGGTAGATGACATAAGAGCAGTGGCAGGCAAACAGTGGATTAGACTGACGCAAGATAGAGAAAGATGGAAGCAATTGGGAGAGACCTACAATCAGGAGTGGATGGAAACTGGTTGACAAAGAAGAATGACGTCAATAATGTTTAGTTCAAGATCGCCATAGTTCTCAACCAAGTCTGAATCGACCTTTAGTGTGGATAATTTGTATTTTTCATTTTTTTACAGAATCTTTCCGCTTTTTTCTAAATAGTTACTAAAACAATTTTATAATGTTGTGTGAATAATAAAGCATGTTGTTTTATAAAATGCAAATGTATCAATAAAGTAAGGATAGAATTTCTTTAATTTAAAAATTTAAACTATATTTCATAGACATAGAACACTGAATTATGATGGTATGATCGTAAAAAACATTAGAAACTACACTTAAAAGAAAAAACAGCAGAGGAAACAAAATTTTAACTTTATAGAAATTAAAAAGTCTTGATATTGGGCAACTTTTGTTTGGAAAATAATAATAACAATATGGGTGCCACACTCCGACTGTCCATTGTTTAAGTTTATTATGTGGTGATACACGATCATTAGAGGATACAGCGAGGTGAGTTGGCTTTGGAACTTATTTTATAAATGACAAGACAAAAATATTTTGATGTACAATCAGAAGGGCCACTCTTAGATGCCGCCTTTGAAGTTTTTCAGCACGCGCGCCATGTTTTAGGAGGACACAGACATATGATTTGGGTGGTTATGTAATTGTTTATATTCAATGACGTATAATATATAGACCCGGTGGACGCTTTAAAAAGTGTCCACAACACAATATTTTACCTTTGTTATTGTTTATTGTTTTGATACGAAGATGCACGAAGTTCATGATTTCTTAGGAAAGATGGAAAGATTCTAACTCGATGCTTACGAAGCTTCACGAAGTTGATCTTGTGTTTGAAAACATCATGGACGTATGAAAACATTTTCTCCATTTTGTGTGTTTACATATTTTACGTGACAAGCAAATTTTATTTTAAATTGTTGAGAGTTATTTACTTACTATTTTATCAAAATAATTATTTCTCTTATAGACGGGAACTAAAAGAAATCATAAATATTAAATTTTAATTAAAAAAATAATTATTGTCATTAACATATAAATGAGTACGCCGCTGTTCTGGTAAACATACCTTCAAAGATCTTTCGGACACCCGATTATATAGCGAGAATAGGGGACTGTGTAGTCTATATATTATACGTCATTGTTTATATTTATGTTTAATTATATTATATTTATGTTATTATATTTAACAATATTAATATAATTGTATAGTATGTCTATGATTGCCGTAAGTCAAATAAATCTGGTTAATTTTTCCATGCACACCACATAAACAACACTGGTTCCCTTTAAAATCCTCCTAAAACATGGCGGAACGTCTGCGCGAAGGAGATGCGCGTACTTAATTTTCCGCGGAGAGTGGGCATTCTGTTTGTTTATTATTCTGTGCTTTGGTGTTGACTCACGGTTCCTAGACTTACTACGGTTGCCTCTTCCGCCTAACCAATGAACATTAAGCCGGATTGTACTCCTGTGACGTAATTTGAATCTTAACATTCAGCCCTGTGATTGGATGGATGTATCAAAACAAAAATGTTTTATAAATAA